ATTCTTGCTCTTGAAATCCTGAGAATGTCGTGGGGAAACAGGGATTAGGGCAAATTGTGGTATGGGAAATCTTGAAAGAACATGAAGACCAAGAAATTGTGCAGAAGTTGGAGTTGTGACCTTGGGGGCAAGGCCAGGAGTGGGGAGATGCCAGCGGGGAGAGATCCTTAAGTGAGAGCTCCAATGGGTCTTGCTGAGATGATAGTTGACAAATGGAGTGAAAAAGCACATTCAAGGAAGAGGTCAGCTGATGCTGTGGATGGAGGGAAAACATTCTGTGCATTCTAGAAAAATACAAGCTACAAGGTGTTACTAGAGTCCAGAATGGGGGCTAGGGGTCAGGTCAGGGGATGAGGGTATCCTGGACTGTTGACCTCCTGGCCATGAACTTGAGCTCCTCTGGAGGACATGGGGAGCCTAGTAACAAGAAGGAAGATATGGGGTCAGATCTGTAAATAGCCTTGTTAAGATATCTAAGTGATACTATGAAACTCACCCATTTAAAGTATATAATTCAGTATTTGTGATATAGCATTATCTTCTGCAACTATCACCACTATGCAGTTTTAGAACATTTTTGCCAAAGAAACCCTGTCCCGACTAGTGGTTAACTCCACCTCTACAGTTTCTGGCTGCCATCAATGTAACTTCTATCTCTGTGGATTTGCTCGCTGTAATCTTTTAAATGAAGTCTCTGGTAGTTAATTTACTGTTATTAACAAGGCTCTGATAATCACCCAATACCTACAATTTTTTCTAGTGTATTATTCTTTAAAAATTTAACTAATTAAGCATGAGAGAGAGAGAGAGAGAGAGACACTCCTACATGCTGATTCATTTCCAAATTACCCAGCGAGCTAGCAATTCAATCCAGATCTGCCACGTGGGTGGCAGGAACCCATTATTGAACAATCACTGTTGCTGCCAAGGGTCTGTATTGGGAGGAAACTGTGTTAATCAGGAGCCAGAGCCGTTATTGAACCAGGCATTCTGATGTGGGATGTAAGCATCTTAAGTGGTGACTTAACACCTAGGCTAAGTGCCCACCCCTGATCGTGTTAAGATGAATTTCTGGAACTAGAAATCGCTCAAACAAAAGTAGGTACTTATTTTTGTATCCCAATCACAAAATTACATTGCTGAATGCTCATTTTTCTCCTTTTATTTTTGTAGACAAATACTCAAATTTGATGTAATTATTGCTGGAGGTAACAGTGTATGTATGAAACTGACTTTTAACATATTTCTAGAATCTTCAGGAAATAGAAAATTAAAAAGTAAAAGCTAGAGCCGAGTATAGGCTGTCTAGTATTTGCTTCAATGTCAGAAATATCATAATGATTTCTAGGATAAAAGCAAGAACTTCCCAGAGTCAAGTATCTTCAAAAACTGTTGGGAAATGTGACTACTGCCCTCGATTCTTTGAGAGATATCTTTCCTAAAAGATGTGACTTAGCTCAAAAACATTTCTATTTACTTGCAGTATATTTTGGCAATAGCTAGTGCATTTATTTGCTTTTCAAATAAGTGTTATTGTATATATTTGAGGTTTACAACATGATATGAGACAAATTAGATGATAAGATGGTTGTGATAGTGAGGCAAATTATTGATCTATCATTTCAATTGAATTAATCCTAAAGCTTCTTTATCTGTATCTCTATTTACCAGTAAAGAAGGCTGTGCAAAATTATAAAAATTGTTTTGAAAGGCAAAGAGAGATCTTCCATCTACTGACTCACTTCCCAAATGCCTACAGCAGCTGTGGCTGGGCCAGGCTGAAACCAGGAGCCTGGAATCCAATCCAGGTTTCCTACATGGTTGGCAGGAACCCAAGTGCTTGAACCATCACCTGCTACCTCTCAGCGCGTGCATTAGCAAGAAGCTAGGATCAAAAGTGGAGCCAGGATTCCAACCCAGGCACTCCAATATGGAATGCAGATGTCCTAAGCAGTATCTTAACTGCTGTGCCAAACACCTGCCACAGGATTTCATTCTTTTTAATTGGTGAATAATATTCCACTGTGTGTGTGTGTGTGTGTGTGTGTGTGTGTGACATTTTAAAAATCCATTCATCTCAGCCCTAAAGGCACTCGGATCTGGCTGAAAAGCCCATGAGAGTATTTCAGGCATGGAAAGCCAAGACACTCTGGCAAAAAGATCTCTGTGAGTGAGATCCCAGTGGAAAGAACAGGTCTTCAAAGAGGGAGGTGCCTTTCTCTGAAGGGAGGAGAGAACCTCCACTTTGACTATGACCTTGTCTAAACAAGATAAGAGTCGGAGAACTCAAGGGGCTTCCATAGCCTTGGAAACTCATGACTGGTGCATAGGGAGATTACTGATGCCATAAACAGGAGTGTCAATTTGTAAAGTCAACAACAGGAGTCACTGTGCACTTACTCCTCATGTAGGATCTCTGTCCTTAATGTGCTGTACACTGAGGCTTAATGCTATAACGAGTACTCAAACAGTATATTTCACTTTGTGTTTCTATGGGGGTGCAAACTGTTGAAATCTTTACTTAATGTACACTAAACTGATCTTCTGTTAAAAAAAAAAAAAAGAAAAGAAACTATCAATTCCCAACTTGACTGTCACTGGGATTAAACATGACAATAGGTCTGATCTGATTTCATCATCATTTAAAAAAAAAATCATCTATTATTTTTCACTTTATGTTTCTGTGTGGGAACAAACTGTTGAAATCCTTACTTAAGGTATACTAAGCTGATCTTCTGTATACTAAGATAATCGAAAATGAATCTTGATGTGAATGGAAGGGGAGAGGGAGTGGGAAAGGGGAGGGTTGTTGGTGGGAGGGACGGTATGGGGGGGAAAGCCATTGTAACCCATGAGACGTACTTTGGAAATTTATATTCATTAAATAAAAGATAAAAAAAAATTAAAAAAAAAATCCATTCATCTAATGATGAACACTTTGTGATTTTATGTTTTGGCTATTGTGAATAGTGTTGCAACGAACTTGTGGAGCAGGTATCTCTTTGATAAAATGATTTAATGTGTTTTGGATATAGACCCAGTAGGGGGATTGCTGGGTCATGTGGCAGTTCTATTTCTAGCTTCTAAAGGAATCTCCATACTGTTACACTAATTTACATTCCCACCAACAGTGTGTAAGACTTCCCTTTTCTCCACACCATTGCTGGTATGTTAGCCATTCACTGTGGCTTTGTTTAGATTTATGTTTCCCCAGTAGGTAGTGATATTGAGCATCTTTTTCATATATTTGTTGGCCATTGGTATTTCTTCTTTTGAGAATTGTCTGTTCAGGTCCTTTGCCTATTTCTTAATTGCATTGGTGAGTTTCGTGAATTCTTTATATGTTCTGGATATTAAACCTTTGTTGGATAAATTCCTTGTGAATATTTTCCCTTCACTCTGTTGATTATTCCTATAATCTGATATAGAGTAATTTAAGACAGACTTTATACTAAGATTTTAACTTTAAAATACTCCATCTGAATGAAAAACTACACTTTTTGTGACATTTTAGAAAACATGTAGCAATCATATATTTAATCTCCATCCATATAAATGGAACTTTCCTATTATTGGACAACTAAGAAAAAACTTTTTATCTTCAATATATTTTCTGCGTTTAGCTCAGATAGGAAATACTGATCTAAAGGTTGTCCCAATGCTATTTGTTGAAAAATTCTAACTTTACCTGCCAATTTAAAGCCCTATCATAACACTCTAGTAAATTGCACAGAAATTTGGTTCATTTCCTGGCGTTCCATCAGTCCTATCAACCTTGTCATTCTCTTACTGATACCACATGCTTTTAGAGTCCAGGTTATTGGCAGAGCAAGTGTTATCTTGTTACCTTCTTTTTCAACATTTCCTTTGCTTATTCTCATGTTTATTTTTAGATGAAATTTACAATAGTTTTGTTTCCTCAAAATCCTGTTATGAGTTTGACATCAAAGATTGTTTCTGAGGAATTCAAGTCAATTTATTCCTTTGCAATATTTCAATTTCTATCGAGAATCTTGGTAAATCTATCCATTTATTAAATTTTTATTTTATGTCTCTCTGTAGAAGTTGAAGATACTGCCTAATTCTTGTTAACAATACTTAGATTGGTTTTGCTGATCAGGTGGGTGGGACTGGTTTGTGTTGTATTTTAATCTCTTGTTTATATATTTTTGAAATATAGCAATAATAGGCAGCATTTACTGATTGCTCACTTCATGCCAGCTCTGTGTTAAACACTTTTAATTTTGTCTTTGCTGCAACTCACTTTGCATGTGAGGGAACTGAATTATTTATTGTTATTTATTTAAAAGTTTATTTTATTAATATAAAGAGATCAGATTTTGTGTATTTTACTTGAAAGAGCCCCAGGAACGTGTCTGAGGTTGGAAGCCAGTCAGTGGGAGCACTCAGACTTGGACTCAAGTGTCCTGATAGTGCAGTCTTAACCACTCACTACATGACTTACTGCGAGCACCATTGCTTTGGGTCTGCTTTGGATCAGCTGATTGACTAACATCTCTTTTTATTGCTATCATTTCAGTTGATTGTCTCATGTTTCCTGGATAGGTCTTCATATCAGCAAATAATGATAATTTCCCATTTTCCTTTCCAGTAATTTCTTTTTCCCTCTTTGTCTAACTGTACAATATCTATTTCTTACAATGCATGGACAAATGGTTTTAAAAATATTTTAAGCTCTATGCAATATCACAATTTAATATATTTATCTTTAAGTACTTTAAGAGTATGGCAAATGCAAGACCTAGAATAAGACATAGCCATTATTTCCATCATATTCAGATTAGAAGCTACTAGAATGAATAAGTTGCATAAAGATTTGCGATATTCTGCTTTTGTCCCTGTTATTACTTTGCTACCTATTTAGAATATTGGAAAGCTTAGCATAAGCTATTTTTAATGCAATAAAACTGTAGATTTTGCTTTCCTTTTGCTCTTATTCAGTTGAGGGCAATTGGTAAATGTTTGCTGGTGCTCATGTTGCAGAAAGTTGGGGCATGGACGGAGGCAACCAAAGTAAGGACGCAGAGTTCCTCCTCCTGGGGATCTCGGAGGTCCCTGAACAGCAGCGGGTCCTGTTTTGGATGTTCCTGTCCATGTACCTGGTCACGGTGGTGGGAAATGCGCTCATCATCCTGGCCATCGTCTCCGACTCCCGCCTGCACACACCCATGTACTTCTTCCTGGCCAACCTCTCCTTCACCGACCTCTTCTTTGTCACCAACACGATCCCCAAGATGCTGGTGAACCTTCAGTCACAGAACAAAGCCATCTCCTACGCAGGGTGTCTGGTGCAGCTCTACTTCCTGGTGTCCTTGGTGGCCCTGGACAACCTCATCCTGGCGGTGATGGCCTATGACCGCTATGTGGCAATCTGCCGCCCCCTCCACTATGTCACAGCTATGAGCCCTAAGCTCTGCATCTTGCTCCTCACCCTGTGCTGGGTCCTGTCTATCCTCTACGGCCTCACCCACACCCTCCTCATGACCACAGTGACCTTCTGTGGGTCCCGCAAGATCCACTACATCTTCTGTGAGATGTACGTCCTGCTGAGGCTTGCATGTTCTGACATCCAGGTCAATCACACGGCGCTCATTGCCACTGGCTGCTTCATCTTCTTCACTCCCTTAGGGTTCATGATCATGTCCTACATCCGCATTGTCAGAGCCATCCTCAGAATACCTTCAGCCACAGGGAAGTACAAAGCCTTCTCCACCTGTGCTTCCCATTTGGCTGTGGTCTCCCTCTTCTATGGGACATTAGGCATGGTTTATCTGCAGCCCCTCCACACCTACTCCATGAAGGACTCTGTGGCCACGGTGATGTATGCTGTGGTGACCCCCATGATGAACCCCTTCATCTACAGCCTGAGGAACAAGGACATGCACGGGGCTCTGGGAAGACTCCTCCTTGGAAAGGCCTTTCAGGGATTGGGATGAGGGTAAATTTGGGGTGTTGAAGCAGAGACTTGAAATTTCCTCCACCAGGTACAAGGCCAGGGAGAGGATATTGAAGTGATGAGAACATAGATCCAGCTCAGAAGGAGTTTATTGATTGTGGTGAAGAAAAAACACCTATGTGTAACCCGGTGTTTGCCAGTCATCACCTGCCTTGGCAATAGGTAGGTCTCCCTAACATCTGGAATTGAGAACTATGTACTCAGAGGGTGGCTGAGAGGATTAAGTGGGATAAGGATTAAGTGACCTGTAGTAAGCACTGTTGTTATAAGTAGGACTAGTTGGGCAAAAGCAATGAGGCAGGAAACAGCCTAACTTTTATTAAACAAATAATAGGATTATATTTGAGAAATATTGGAAGAAGAAATAAGCCAAAAGCAATCATTTTTGTTTCTACCATTGAAAAATAACTATTATTTGCATTTGGTGCAAATTCTAAACTTTGATTTCTAGTAAATATGTTTTTTCAGAATGATTTCAAATTGTTTTGAAACTTGCCATCCAATGTATAATAGTCTCTTTCTATATTAGTATATATTCAGTTACATTGTTAGTTAATGCCTGAACAGTATTTCAGGGTTCAACTCAATGAATATAATATAATTCATTTAATCACAATATTTAGTTATTTCAGTTTTGCCACTGCTTGCAACATGGCAGTAAATGTTTCTGTATGTCTATCAATATTCACTTACCTATTATTTCCCTAGGGGAAATTGGTGAAATGGAATTTCTAGTCCAAAAGTTTTCATTTCCAGTGCCTCCACAAAGTCTGTATCAATCTGTACATTCACCCAGAGCCAACATAAGTCATCAGTTTTGCTTTGTTTGGGAATTGCAATAGGCTCAAGCCAAAGTAGCATTGTGCTCATCAGGAACACAGCATTGCTAGCATTGTACCAAAAAGGGAGCAGGGCTAGGTTTCTAGTACTAAAAAAAGCAAAGACCCTTAAAAGTGAGCCCCAGTTTCTTTTTTTTTTTTTTTATTTATTTACTTTTATTTAGTTAAAAAAATCTTCCCAGCTTTATTAAGATAAAAATGTATAAAGATACCATGCATTAAGATATAAAATTGTATATAGTTATGAGGTATATCTTTTTTTTTTATTTTATTTTTTTTTTATCTTTTATTTAATGAATATAAATTTCCAAAGTACGACTCATGGGTTACAATGGCTTCCCCCCCCATACCGTCCCTCCCACCAACAACCCTCCCCTTTCCCACTCCCTCTCCCCTTCCATTCACATCAAGATTCATTTTCGATTATCTTAATATACAGAAGATCAGCTTAGTATACCTTAAGTAAGTATTTCAACAGTTTGCTCCCACACAGAAACATAAAGTGAAAAATAATAGATGATTTTTTTAAAATGATGATGAAATCAGATCAGACCTATTGTCATGTTTAATCCCAGTGAGAGTCAAGTTGGGAATTGAAAATTTCTTTCTTTTTTTTTTTTTTTCTTACAGAAGATCAGTTTAGTGTACATTAAGTAAAGATTTCAGTCGTTTGCACCCCCATAGAAACACAAAGTGAAATATACTGTTTGAGTACTCATTATAGCATTAAGCCTCAGTGTACAGCACGTTAAGGACCGAGATCCTACATGAGGAGTAAGTGCACAGTGACTCCTGTTGTTGACTTTACCAATTGACACTCCTGTTTATGGCATCAGTAATCTCCCTATGCACCAGTTATGAGTTTCCAAGGCTATGGAAGCCCCTTGAGTTCTCCGACTCTTATCTTGTTTAGACAAGGTCATAGTCAAAGTGGAGGTTCTCTCCTCCCTTCAGAGAAAGGCACCTCCCTCTTTGAAGACCTGTTCTTTCCACTGGGATCTCACTCACTGCCAACCTCCGGAGAGCTATGCCTGTGAGAACCAAGCTTCCTTCTCTAGCTCAGATCTGAGGAAGGCCCTGGAAGGTAGGGGAGTGGGCACAAGGTGGGCTCCTGCAGTGCAGGGCATTGCTCGCTGTCTGGGTAGGGTGGTGGGATCCCACAGCAGCCAAGGCCCAGCCTTCAGGGTCTCGCTTCCTCCACAACGTGCAGACCATGGGAGTACCTGCTGTGAACCAGGGAAGTGTGAAGATGGCATGGCAGCTGGTGCTTCTCTTTTCTTCTTTGTCTTGTTCCCTTGATAACTATGTCTTTTATTTAAAATTCTGAGTGTGAGTCATGCTTAATGTGGCCTTTTAAATTATGGCAAAGGAACTAGATTTAGTGTTTTTGATGAAAATCTAGCATTGCATTTGAGGTGTGCTAACAGTTTAAAACAGACCTGAGATTTCAAAAGCAGTATGGAAAACTAGAATATAAACTGTTTCCTTTAGAATTTCTTGATATTGACTACATGTTGAAATGGTAATATTTTAGATTATTGGATGAAATAAAATACATCACTAAAATCAATGTCAACTAATCCTTTCTCCTTTCACTGAAGTGGCTGCAGAAAATGTTATATTTGCGTCTCTGATTGAAGTTCTATTGGATAGCATTGCTCTGGGTGATAGCTTCTTCCTCCAGAACTAATTTATTTTTGCTGTGCCAGGCAGGAAGGATCCATTCCACGAGGGAGATGATGGAGGCTGGGTTTCATTCTTTGTAGAGGCTGCCTTACTCCCAGAGGGGGTACGTTGGAAGTTCCCATTGGAAGCCTTGTGTACATACTCTGCTTTTCCCTTTGGCAGCATCCTAACTCCTGTTTTCTCTCCAGGCTCATAAGCCTGCTAGAAACACAGCTCACTCTCACCACCTCAGCCCTCAGCTGGAATCAGCAAATGCCTTTTGAGGGGAAGCAGCCTAATTGCCAGCAGCATTTCTTGGGAAATCCTTTCTCTCTTTGGGTTTTGTCCCATCAGGTCATACTTGATAGTTGTTTGACTCCTATCAGACTTCTGAGACTAGGTCATTTATCTGCGTGGCTGTGAGTAAAAGTCTAGAATGTTCCTTTTCTTTTTTTTTTTTTTTTGACAGGCAGAGTGGACAGAGAGAGAGACAGAGAGAGAAAGGTCTTCCTTTGCCGCTGGTTCACCCTCCAATGGCCGCCGCTGCAGCCGGCGCACCGCACTGATCCTGGCAGGAACCAGGAGCCAGGTGCTTTTCCTGGTCTCCCATGGGGTGCAGGGCCCAAGCACCTGGGCCATCCTCCACTGCACTCCCTGGCCATAGCAGAGAGCTGGCCTGGAAGAGGGGCAACCGGGACAGAATCCGGTGCCCCAACCGGGACTAGAACCCGGTGTGCCGGCGCCGCAAGGTGGAGGATTAGCCTATTGAGCCACGGCGCCGGCTTTAGAATGTTCCTTTTCAATCAAGGTTCCTTAAGAGAATTAACCTAATGTCCTAAGAGTTCTATTCTGTGCTACAGATTAACTTTGGTTCTATACATCTAGTTTCTGGCTAGGTATGCTTTGGAGAATGGAGAAAAGAGTGATTCAAATCATTTTGTGCAGGGGTTAATTCTGTCATGGAAATCCAGTTGAGAAATGCTGGTATACTCAACCTTACTAAAGAGGCCTAGGCCACACGCCTTCCTGGATTGTCACTGTGGCCAGGGAAGTAGATATTCTGGTCCTGCAGTCTGGAGTCATGGGTAGAACCACACTTCCTGGAATCATCTGGATGCCAAACAGAAATTGTCAGCTGTTAGAAAGGCAGAAGTGTAAAATATTTGAGTCAGGGCTCCTGGCTCTGTCCTGGTCCAGCCTTGGCTTTTGTGGGCATCTGGGGGAGTGAATCCATGGATAGGAGATTCTGTCTGTCTCTCTCTCCCTCTTTCTCTCTCCCTCTCTCCTCCTATCCCCAACTCACCTCTCAAATAAAAAGAAGATAAATAAATGTTTAAAAAAGGAGAGAAAGAGGGAATTAGAAATAAGATCTTAAATGCCCACCCCAAGAAATTATCAAATACAAACAAAATGTTGACTCCAGTCACTTTTTTTTATTTGAAAGGCAGAGTGACAGAGAGAGTGTATACTGTGACATGTAAAGAGTTGGAAGTCATCATTGCCACTCTCATAACAAGAAAAAAGCTGAATAATCTGAAAATCAGGTCACAGGGCCAGCTGCTGGCTTGAAAAGTGGAGGGAAAGTTACCGAAAGAATGACAGCTTATCTTGGCAGAAGCCCACTGCTGTGTCCAGCATGAGAAGGAACATGAGGAGTGTAATTGAAGAGTAGCTGGAGAATGAGATCTGTGCTCTGTGCTGTAGTGTAATGGGTTAAGCTGACACCTGCAGCGCCTGCATCCCATATGGATGCTGGTTCAAGTCCTGGCTGCTCCACTTCCGATCCAGCATCACTGCTAATGTGCCTGGGAAAGCAGTGGAAAGTGGACCAAGTGCTTGGGCCCCTGTACTTGCATGGGAGACCCAGATGAAGCTTCTGGCTCCTTGCTTCGGATGGGCACAGCTCCGGCACTGTGACCAACTGGGGAGTGAACCAGCAGATGGAAGACTTCTCTCTCTCTGTGCTCTCCTTCTTTCTGTGTGAAACTCTTTCAAATAAATAAATACATACATAAATAAATAAATCTTAAAGAATGGAAAGAACTGAAAGGCTTGGATCCTATTTGAAATGGAATCTCTAGGGAAACTCAAAGACAACAAGGAGCCAAAAACAAGGACACCAGTGGAACTTTTAGTCTCAGATATCTTCAGCAAACACAGCCCAAGTCCTATTCAGAAAAACACAAAACTTCGTGATAAAAACCAATTTATCACAGTTCCTTTGAGTTAACACATCATGTATAACATCCTCAGAGATTTTCAAGGCATGATAAAGGCAAAATAAACCATTTAAAGAGACAAAGTACGACCCAGAACCATTCTCAGATCTGATACAGAGTTTGAAATTATCAGACTGAAATTTTTTTTAAAAAAATGATTAACTTGATAATACCTGTAATGGAAAAATGTACACGTATGATACATAATGGGAGCAGAGAGATGGAAACTAGAAATAATCAAGTGGCCGGTGTTGTGG